GGTGAGAGCAGAGAGCCCTGAGCTCAGGTGGGGCAGAGTTTTTATCATAGCAGAGGTTGGGGTGAGGGGATTTCCAGGGTCCAGGACCCTGATTGGCTGACATTTGTCTAGGGCTATCTGTAAAACAAAAAATAGGTGTGTGCTAGACTCGGGACATCTGGCCACCGTATCTAATGGTTGGAATGTTTGGGATGTCAGATACTTCCTCACCCCTGGGTGGATCTCTGGGCGGTATAAGCTTGAGGCTTTTCCTGGATCTGGGTGTTGCCTGGAGTAAGCCTGTCACAGAAGCATGTCTAGGCCCCTAAGCCTGTCATGGCTGCTGTGTGGTCAAGCTGTTTTTGGCCTCTTCACAGATGGGACACCAAGAGTGACTTGCAAAGATGAATCACCGCTTCTCTGAAGTGTTGCTCATCCCAGATATGACGGAGGGCTCTGCTGTTAGGTATGAGGCTCGATCTCCAGCTTCACACCAGACAACACTGTTATAAAGAGCACACTGTATTTGTGCTGTGACAAAACACCACGACCAAAAGCAACTTAGGAAACAAAGAGCTTATTTGGGCTCATGGTTCCAGAAGGAGAATCCACGATGGTGGGGGAAGCTTGGCAGGTGACCGCAGCAGGAAGCTGAGAGATCCTATGTTCAAGAGCAAACAGGAAACAGAGAGAGCAAACAGGAAGTGGTGCGAGACTAGACGCCCTCAAAGCCCATCCCCAGTGACATACTTCCTCCAGCAAAAGCTCCACTTCCGGAAAGTTCTACAGCTTCAAACAGCGCCACCTACTGGGTACCAAATGTCCAAATAATGAGCCTGTGGGGGACCTTTCTTGTTCAAACTGCTACCCATGCTGAAGAATCAGTGGCCGATACAAAGAGAATACGTCATCTTATTAAGTTGTCAGACCCGGGGTCCTACATCTTCTTGAAAATTACTTTAATTTTATTTTTATTTTTTTGAGATTGGGTCTTACTGTGTATGTGTGTATCCCAGGCTGCTTTGGAACTGGAGGCCTTCCTGCCTGGATTTCAGGAATGCGCTACTACACCCAGCTCCAAATTCTTTTAAGAGACTGGAACAATTTAACAAGTATAATATGATAGGATTTAATAGATGAATATTCTAAGTCCATCCAAATCATTTGTTGAGAGGAAGCTGGGATGGAGCAAGTACGGTGAAGACCTCACCACCACAGGCAGCAACTTTGTTTCTAGAAGCTTCCAGTTCCTAGCAGGGACCACATGGCTTTGCAATCCTCCTGCCTCTGGAGTGTTGGGATTACAGGTGTGTAGTGGGGTAGAGTTTCTTTCTATGAGGCAGAACTTCTTTTGAAAAGGGGCATGAAGAAAAAGGACACACACTCAGAGTACACTGAGTATGGAGTTTTGTATGCTTTAAAAATATTCTAAAACACTTACTGTGTGCGTGTGTGTGTGTGTGTGTGTGTGTGTGTGTGTGTGTGTGTGTGTCTCAGAGGACAGCTTGTAGAAGTCCTCTCCTTCCACTAGGTGGGTTCCAGGGACGGCATCACATCATCAGACTTGCAGCAAGTGTCCTTCCTTACCTGCAGAGCTGTCTTGCTGTCTTGTATTGTTTTATTTATCAGACAGAGATAAAGGTGCTTATGGAGGACTCTGTTTCCCCATTCAGAGAAAAGGGGCCCAAAACCAACATAGTGGGAAGCCGGGCACCTTTACCTCTCATCTCCAGCTTAGCCTCGTTCCTACGCTCTCCAAACGGGCCAAGAGCCAAGATGCCGCCCCAGTGTGTTGTGGGAATTTGTGATAATTTCTCTGGTGGTATGATGAGATTTTTGCAGACTAAAACCCCCAGAGGTTGGAACCACATGGCTAGTGTTCTGTTAGCCTGGTGAGTAAAACACACACACACACACACACACACACACACACACACACACACACACATATATATATATATATATATATATATAGTCTTTCCTGGGATTCTGAATTTTTAAAACATTTCAAAATACAAAGGAAAAAAAAAAAAAAGCCCAAACAATTTCAGTGCATGAAAGTCAGACAACCTAAAACCAAGCAACAGAAAAACAGAAACTGGACTACATAGAGGTAGCTACATAGAACCCTTTCTCACTTCAGCCAGACTGGAGGATACAGTTTTGTATAAGTTAAATATACAGCAGGCAGTGGTTCCCAGGGCCAGTCCAGAAATGAATTTGTGAGAGAACAGGGCTCAATGATCAGGGGTCGGACTGCCTCCATCACCTCTGTGCTTGGGTGGAAGGCAAACGTGATCTTCCCCTCTGGGCATTAGCCCCGGGTGGTGGCTTTCACACAGGACCCTGTCACTTAGACACTTGGGTCTGGGTCTGGGTCTTGCCCTAGGCTCTGGGCTCCCTCTTAGGCCCTGCCATTAGTGGGGTTAAAATGCCTGTCGCACCAACATTAGGCTAGGTTGCCCTCGCTTGCGCGGTCATCTGCTTGTTGCGGCCCCTAGGAGCCAAGGTCTGCAAGATTCATTTTGTCCACTGCATCCCCAGCACAGCGCAAACTCGGCCCCCGGTGAAGATTTTAAAGCCACCGGGAAATAAGAGGGTTTAAAGAAATGCAAAGCCCCTCTTACCTTATAACTAGAGACAAAGTCCTTGCTTGGCTCGAGAGCTGGGTTTGTTTTTTTTTTCCCCCCCAAACTTGAGTGTTCAAGCACTGGGCATCAGAAATCATGTGGCTGCCTGAAAAAAAAAAAAAAAAGCCTCCTTGCTTTTGAGGTCAGGGTGACCGGGACAGGACCTGAGTCCCCGAGTGAACACTCAATCACTCCTGCAGGGCCTGACACCCAGTAAATGACCTGTAAGTCTCTGATTTAAAAACAAAACCAGAAACACCCCCCCCCCCGCCCCCCGCCAACCCCCACCTCCCGAAACAAGAGCCAGGATGTTCCCGGGCCAGGAAATCCGCTTCTCTGCCCGCGTCCCAGCCTCCTCCTCGCGCCTCCATTTGCTGAACTCACGGTGGATTCCGGGGCCCGGAAAGCGACACCTGCCGGCGGCTGGTGGCAGTGCGGCTCACCCGAGCCCGGCCTCCTGCACGGCCGGGCCGCCCCAGGCCCCAGGCCAGGGCGCCTGCCTGGGCTTTGCCTGTCTGTGCAAGCCAGTTCTTGAATCGGCTGCTGCGGGCACAGCGCGGCCTCCTTTGAATGATCTTCCAAAACTTCTCCAACAAACATGTCTCGGGGAGCCCGCACGTATTCTGGCTTGGCCCTGGGTGACACCTCTAGTCTGCCTGCCCTCCCCCCACCCCCAGGCCTCCTGTTAAAAGGGTCTGGTGTGCTCTGTGTTTATATTTCCCCCCAGTGAATCGCATCAATTTCAACCCTTTACCAAATGGGTGGAGTCCCCTCTCCTCCCTCATTAGGTCCTTCTCTGTGCTTCTAGCAGCAGAGAGGGAGGTGGTGGGGGCACAGGGGGACCGTGAAATTCAGGGAGGCCAGTCAGGGGTAGGTATCTTGCCTCAAAAACAAAGAGCAAAACCGAAAAAGAGCACAAGCTTGTTTCTCTGACATCACCGGTAACTGTGTTCAAAAGGCTCCCTGGCGCCCAGTTGTTCTCTGGGAAGCTCTCCCAGACCCTTGCTTCAAGCAGGAACCCTAATTAGTGTAGGGTGACAGTGGTAGCTAGTCACAGAGGCTGCCACAACCCAGCAGGAACACACCGCGTCCAATTTACGGTCGGCCGCTGTCCTTGTCTCCAGGGCCTGTAAAGGGAAGCCTGGAGACACCACCCGGGACAGTCTGCCTGGAGCTGCTGGTTTAGGGCTGGTCCTTTCCAGGAAGGGAGAGATCCGAGTTCGTGTGAGGCTGGCACACGGGCAGGGCCTTCCGTTAGAGGGAACTGTGGGCGCCGGAGATTTAAGGTGCCGCTGGCCGTCCAGGTGGACAGGCAGAGTGGTGGTCTGACTCTGTGCTCATTCTCTGCAGGTCAGGAAGGAAGCGGGGAGCCTGGAGTTAGTATGTGGGTGACAGAGTTCTCCCGGCCGCCGGGAACTTGTTAGGAGTGGGAATTTCAGGGTGCTGGTGTGAAGACTGTTACCAGTCTCTGAGGACGGCCCTGCTCATCAGGTCCCTCTCTTCCATGGACTGGGGGACAGAACTTGGGAGCTTAAAGGAGCCCCGCAGGTAGTTCTGTGGTTCCCTAAAACTTGACAAGGGGTTGGGTGCGGCTTAGTGGTGCCGGAGGGCTCGGCAAGCAAACAGCAGGGCTGGGACTATCTCTACAATCCCCGTAACAACAATTCAGGAAGCTGAGGCAGGAGGATCACAAGTTCAAGGCCGGCCTGGGCTCTAGAGTGAGACCCTGTTTCAAACATCCAAAGCCAAAAGAGATGTTTGCTTGCCTCTAAGTTAGAGGAGGGAGCAGGGTGGCTGGTGGGCAGACTCCAGGGCAAAGCCGGGCTGACGAGCATGGGAATGAACCGCCACTAGGTACGGGTGTGGGGGAGGGGAGCCACAGCGAGTGCCAACGTCCAAACATTCCAGTTAACCTGGAGAGCGTAATTCGCCCGATTTTGGGTTCTGTGAGTCTAATGTGACTACCGGGAGGACATCCACGGAGGGAGGGAGGAGCTTCTCGAAACCACCAGAAGAAGTCAGAGCTGGAAGTGCAGGTGGGGAGAGCCCCCCTCCCCCCCAGTTGAAATGAGAGCGGTGTCTCGGTGTCTGTGCTGAGAGGAGGTCGGACAGAGCGGGGAAGTCACGATGGTTCAAACCTGGGCCGAGAGGAAGAAAGAAAACCCTGTGTGGAGTCACTGAGGCAGAGCCGCGAGACATTCCAGTAAGGGGAGTAGGAGAGAGCCGCCTTGAACGGTGCTTTCGAACCAGCGGCCACCCAACCTGGTTGAGAAGCCAGGTTCTTCAGGGACAGTAGAGTGGGTGCTGGAGGGATGGACCAGCGGTAAGGGCACATGCTGCTCTCGCAGGGGCCCGGGTTCTGTTTCCAGCATCCAACAGAGTCAGCTGTAATTCTAGCCCCAGGGCATCTGATGCCCTCTTCTGGACTCTGTGGTCAACTGCATACATGTGCGCTCTCTCTCTTCTCTCTCTCTCTCTCTCTCTCTCTCTCTCTCTCTCTCTCTCTCTCTCTCTCTCTCAATAAATCTTTGAACAACAATAGACAATGTCAGACAGTCTCTCATAAGGCAGAGACAGTTTCCCCAAAACCTTTTTTTTTTTTTTAAGACAGAGTTTCTCCGTGTAGCCCTGGCTGTCCCAAAACTCGCTCTGTAGACCAGGCTGGTCTCAGAGATACTCAGAGATCTGCCTGCCTCTGCCTCCCGAGTGCTGGCATCTGAGGTGTGCCTTACCTTGCCATTCACTCTTTCTTGGTTTTATTCAGTCCAAGACTCCAGCCCCACATGTTAGATGGGTCTCCCCACTTCAATTAACTCAACCTAGAAACTCTCTCACAGGCACACTCAGAGACCTGTCTCCTACATGAGGATCCCAGATCCTCTTAACAATATTGATCACCATGGGTAGAACTTTCTCTCTGTCTCTGTCTCTGTCTCTCTCTCTGAGACAGAGTTTCTCTGTGTAACAGCTCTGGCTGTCCTAGAAAGCACGGCAGGACTGAGGAACTCTCAAAAACTTCCGGCCCCCGGAACCGGAAAGGGACAATATTGGGAAACCAGAGTCTCAAGTTTGATCTATAACATTGTACAGGCACTAATTTCCTGATTATGACATAAGCTATGTTAGCATGTTTAGCTGGGTGAGGGATATATGGAAACTCAGTTGTTGCCCCTCGGAGTTTTTTTTTTTTTAAATTTTATTTTTGGTATAATGTAATACAACATTTCTCTCTTGAGATTTTTGAGTCTCTGTGTGACTACCCAGGGACTTTCTATCATCCTGCCTCAGCCTCGGAATGCCTAGCTCTTTGTTTGTTTGTTTGCTTGTTTTGGTTTTTTGAAACGAAGTCAAACGTAGCCCAAGCTGGCCTTGAACCACTAACCTTCCTGACTTTATCTCCCAGCTACCCGGATCACAGGCGCGTAGCTGCCTCGCCAGGCTTATCCTGGGCGCTTAGTGCTTTTTTTTATTAAGCCTAAAATTAAGTCTGAAAAGTTCAAAAAGTCAAATCTCTAGTTTGTGTGTGTGAATGGCATGGGGTTTGTGATGTAAGATACATTTCATATGGAAGACCGTGGGGGAAAATGTTCACATTCCTGGACTGTGAGAAAAGTCTGTCTGGTTCTGCCAGCCTGGGCCAGGCAGGGCTGAGGGGTAGGGGGTGGGGTGGGTGTCAAGGGTCTGGTGTGTGTGTGTGCGTGGGGGGGGGGGGCTGTGGGTTTGAAGCTGCCGAGCGAGAGCAGGTTGTGGTCAGAGACGTTAGCAGCTGGTGCTACCACAGCGTGCCCAGGCCTTTCTGCAGCTGTTACACAGGGGCCATGGAGCCCAGAAGTGGCAGGAGCTAGGACCCAGGATGTCGAGGTGCATTCTGGGGCTAGAGAGCCTGTCCCAGAACTCTTATTAGACCTATCACAGCCATTGTGGGGCATTTGGATGCCCAGAAGCAATACTCTAGGGAGAGGGTGGTGTGGGATAGCCTGTGGTGGTGGGATTTCTTCCGTTTGTGTGTGTGTGTGGAGGGAATGAGCCTTAGTTTCTAAAGGCAGTGCGTGTCCCTCGTAAAGCACGAGTCCTTCAAGCAACCCAGAGCATAGGCAGTCTGGTAATCAAGTGCTTTCCCAGCATCCCAGCACAGGCAGCTACCCTAGCAGTTCCCTGCTGGGGTGACTTTGCCCCACTCCCACCCCAGGAGACATTTGGCCACGTCTGGGGACATTTTCGGTTGTCCCGCTGGAAGGCAGGTGTATGTACGGGCATCCAGCGCAGCTGTTGAACGCCCTGAAGGGTTCCTGATGGCCCTCGCCACCCCTGTGGTAAAATGCCTTCTGGGGCCGAATGTCGGTGGCACACAGGCTCTGATGACCGGAGGCGGAGGAGATGGAAATTCAAGCTCTGTCTCTGGTCCAGAAGTTGCCTGGGCGCTTTTCATGAAGGAGAAGGTATTCACTTCACTTCCTGGCTTCGTTTCAAGTGGGTAATTATAACCTGCCTACCTGCAGTTTACACTGAGTTTCAGAATGTGTCTGTCTTCGTGCTTAAACAAGCCGAAGTATGGCTGTATTCTCGGCAACAGGGCGGTATTCTGTGCCCAGATGGGTTACAGGTCAACAGCAGGTTAAACGATTGGTCTGCAAAGTGATTCGAAGCCTTCAGGGATTAAAAACCAGGAAAACAAGAAACCTGGGACATCGCTGCCATTATTAATTATTAGCAATATTACACCGTTTCTTTGACCACTCAGGATTCCCACAGGATTCCTGTTAGTACTAAGGTCAAAACCAGATCTGTGACCTTCAGTCTAAACCTACACAGCCTGGAATTAATAAGTTAGCCGTTAAAAGCTGGGCGCTCTTCAGTGCCCGTCAGCTCAGGAGCCTGGGAGAAGCTTGGCTCCGGGGACACTGGCTTCAAAGCGCGCCTCCAATCTTGTGTCTGTTCTTGCTGTTCCCTGTTTAGAAGGGAGCAGTACATACTTGTCTGTTGCTTCAAGGCAAGAGAAATTCTGAAGGTATTAAATACAGGCTCACTTCCAGCAAAGCCAAGGGAGCCTGGAACCAGTTAAGGGCAAGGCTCTGTCTTTCTTTTCCCTTCCATTCCAAAGACGACAATAATTCAGGGTGGCAAGATTTAAAATCTGAAGCCATGTTGGGCTGGAGAGGTGGCGGTTGAGAGCACTGGCTGCTCTTCCAGAGGACCCGGGTTCAATTCCCAGCTGCCATATGGCAGCTCACACCAGTTAGTAACTCCAAGATCTGACACCCTCACATAGACATACATGCAGACAAAATACTAATATAGATCAAATAAAAATAAGCAAATTATATAAAAAAAAAATGAAGCTGTGCTTGATACATCTAATGGTTATCATTTAAAAGCCACCGGACTTGTTTGGAAAACTGACTCACGTTTCTCTCTCTATAAACACCACATGAATGTTAAACAGGATGAAAGGCCACAGGCATACAGACAGCAAGTATTTTAGGTTGGTTTATTCATTTTCTCTAGAATTTCTATCTTTACAAGGATGGTATCCACTTCATCCTGGTATGCTGCAGGCCGCAGGAATATATCATAAGAACTCAGCTGGTTATGGCAAAGTCACTACCTGAAGGAATCAGGGAATTCCTCCAGAGGAAGCCAAATTCCAAGGAGTTTTTGGTGTTACTTGGCTTGTTATATATCAGCTGTATTCTGTTATGAAAATCATGTGTGCCTTCATAGTT